TAAGAAACAATGCCAGGAGGATTATACTACATCATCAAAACCATTAAATCCACCAATAACAATCAGACTTCCTGCTTGCTGGAACAGAAACATTCTGCAAGGAAACTTCTACAAGTTTCTGAAATGGTCATAACTTCTTCACGTTATACCTGTGTATTAGGAACAATCTTTCATCCTCTTAGGGATGTTATACTTTTGCAGAGTATAATTAACACCCCGCCCCCGTATTCCAAGGCTCCAAGTTTTGGGATTACTTTTTTTTTTTTTTTGCTTTCTTCAATGTGATGTGAAAGAATAAATGAAGTATAGCATAATCATGCATTTAATTCACCTCCATAACAATTACATTTCTCTTGTATAATAAGGAAAAAGCGGTGAACTGACAGGACCCCAAACAGAATAGATATTAAATTAAGCATTTCCCTGACAGGAATTAGCTCATGCCTCTTTAGGAGTTCTGGTACCTTTTCAAGATTAGTGCTGTAATGAATATGATTATAAACATACTGTCTAGATTTTCAATTCTGTAAAAATATCTAAACGTTTGAACAAAGCTTCATGTTCCTATAAAGTACTAATTTTAAAGACAAATGTGGTGAGTCATGTAAGTGTCATCATGGAATTTTCTATTCTTCACATCAGCATTTTGCCTAAATATTTATTTGATAACAGAAAAACTGTACACTTGAGTTATGATGCCAAGACATGCTGCCTTGGCTTACTATAATGAATGTCTATTATTCAGTATGCATCTCCCCTCACTTTTAACTTCTCTGCCTCCTCCCATGCCAAAATTTTCTCCTTAGTCTCCAATCCATCAGGCCTGCAGCACAGTAACCGTGGGCTAAGCACACAGCTGACACTACTACAAAGAAAAAGGAGTGGGAAAAAATTATGCGAAAATAAGAGAGCCACTGGCATGGAATCAGATACAATTCCCTACCTTGCCCTAATTTAGAGAGAAATGCACGTGTTGTCAGATTTCTTCTAAACCAAACTACAAGGACCTTCATCAACTCCTTTAATGAGTCTAATGAGAAGTTTGTCCTCTGACAGACACTGTATATGTTATTCCCATGTAAAAAGTGGTAAGAAGTCAGAATTCCAATCAGGCACCCACTACAATCATACAAAGTCAAGTCCCAAGTCTGTCAGCATTTAAGCATGCGCTTAACTTTTCTCATATGAGTAGTTCTACAGAAGTTACATGGGATTGCTTATCCAGGTATAGCTACATAAAGGCTTATGTGTTTGCAGGACTGAGGACTTTGTCATATGCATACCAGTGTGTAGGGCGGGATGGGGAAAGTCCTAGAAAACAAGTTTGGAACAGTTCTCTCAACAAAAAATATTTCATAAAATGCTGTTTATAACAAACAGATCATACTTATTTAGTAATAGTAATAATAGTTCACTAATGCCAAAAGACACTGAGTTGGGGATCCCATATTGCTAGACAGAGAAAACTTTCTAAAATAAAACTTTCTAAAATAATTACATAAACTGTGATAAGTTGTGAGAAAATGTTTATTGGCAAATAAATCTTTCTTGAAGACTTTACAGCACAAAATTCTAGGAGACTATTTCCCACTCGTGTGTTTCAAGAAATATCATTTGATCTACAGGTTAAATCTCTCTAGTCTGGCACTCTTGGGACCTCACTGGTACTGAACCATGGGAGCAATATTGTCTAGCAGCATTACAGCACTTCCACTGCTTACTAGGCTCTTAGAGGACATTTAGGGGTAAATTAGAGCTAAATAACAGCACAGAACACTGAGAGCCAGGACTGGTGGCTGTAAACAAACTTCATGGGACTACAGGAAACTTAGCCACACCCATAGTAAGTGGACATTCGAATAACTAAAATTATGCTGAACCATGGCTGTTGCTGGACCAGAGAGTGATGGACTACAGAGATTCAACCTGGATTAGACACAACTATGCTGTATTATCAATTATTGGTACTATCCATAAATCTCATGTAGAACTTATTAGACACTCCTTTTAGAAAAGAAAAAAAAAAGGGGAACAAATTATATAAGAGCCACAGGACATGCTGTCAGATGGGCCCAACATCACCAAAACCTTTTTAATTTTAAAGGTAGCATGAAAAAAATCTTTCATTACTATTTTCTTGAATGAATGCACTCTTCTTTCCCCAGATGGAAGCTGTGCATTTTAAAATAAGATATGTACAATTCTGTGCTGTGTATGTTACACAGGGAAACAACTGTGCTCGAATATAAAAAGCACTTCCTTGTTTGTGTTAAATAATATATACCAGAAATAGGAATGCTGTAACTCAGTCCCAATAGGGTAATTAGGAGAAAACCATGTTAGCTGGCCAGACCTGTTGGAATACGATATTACAACACTATTACACATGGAGGAGAAAGGCCTAACAAGAGCATGATTGAAGGCTAGTACTTAAAAATCCCTTTTCTCTTGGATACCACAGACACAGAATTTCTCTTGGCAATGAGTATGCATAAAATGCATAAATATTTAGGTGGAAGCACCTGACTCACTGAATGCCCAGGGTACTACCAATCAAAAGATGCTTTGAGCATTAAAGCAAACAAATATCAAAACATTTTCTCAAAAACATCCCAAACTGGAGACGCACGTGCAGCAGGTACCAAAAATACCTCTACTTCAAGCCAAATGACCAAAAAGAATGCAGCCAGCAGACCCAGGAATTTGGGGAACAGGCCAGTCAGTTCACCAGAGACAACAGCAAGGAAATAACCAATGCCTCGGGAAGGTGTCAAAACAACCATCACCAGGCATTGTCCAGCAAGGGAGCTACAATTCGATGACTCATCTGAGTGTGGCCACACCAAGAGAATTGCTCAACCTTTCCTGAGGACTCAGCAATGCCCATCAGGCATGCCTGGACTTGCATTCTCCAAGCAGATGGGATCGAGGTTATAAAAGAGAACACGGGGTCCCATGCTTCACCCTTCTCCTGTCCCCATCTATGACGCCAATAAAGGAGGCTGGCCTAGGTCTGAGCGTCAAACCTGTATAATGACTGCACCATCCAGTAGGGTGAAAAAACTGCTTAATCTGGTTGTTGCCTAGTCTAATAGGGTGAGGCTACGTCTACACTGGCCCCTTTTCCGGAAGGGGCATGTAAATTTCAGCAGTCGTCGTAGGGAAATCCGCGGGGGATTTAAATATCCCCCGCAGCATTTAAATAAAAATGTCCGCCGCTTTTTTCCGGCTTTTAAAAAAGCCGGAAAAGAGCGTCTAGACTGGCCCCGATCCTCCGGAAAAAGTGCCCTTTTCCGGAGGGTCTTATTCCTACTTCAAAGTAGCTTCAAAGTAGGAATAAAGCTTCAAAGTAGGAATAAGAGCCTCCGGAAAAGGGCACTTTTTCCGGAGGATCGGGGCCAGTCTAGACGCTCTTTTCCGGCTTTTTTAAAAGCCGGAAAAAAGCGGCGGACATTTTTATTTAAATGCCGCGGGGGATATTTAAATCCCCCGCGGATTTCCCTACGACGACTGCTGAAATTTACATGCCCCTTCCGGAAAAGGGGCCAGTGTAGACGTAGCCTGAGTGTTTAGACAGCATGCTTATATTTTATTTTATTTTGGTAACCACTCTGTCTTTTATATAGTCACTTAAAATCTCTTTTTTGTGGTCAGTAAACTTGTTTAACTGTTTACCTTTGGTTTGGTAAATTTCCTCAGAGGGTTTAGAAAGGCTGGTCTATATCCATTTTCCATTGATGAAGTGATAAACCAATTAATAACATTTGCACTGCTTGTGTTGAGCTGTGCAAGATGGTACATTCCTGAACAGTGCTGAACGCTGGGGCAAGCTGGTGGGTGCCTCTCTGTGCGATTCATATGAGTGACTCTGGGAACTTGCACGCAATCTAGCTGGGTATAGTTACTGCACAGGCTGTTGTACTGAGTGATCACATCACCTGAACGTGATGATCTCTGGAACGTTAATTCTTTAAGTTAGAAATATTGCTCAGTTATTTTAATACAGATCTCGCTAATGGCTCAATCAGTCCATTGGTAAGTCTTTAATTTTCAGAAAGGGACCTTATCTCACTTATTACTAAATCTTTACATAACAAGAAGTGCCAGATCCTCGCTTCCTATAAACACTGCCCTGAAAGTCACAGAATACTCGGAGATGAAACAAGCCAGTGACCCTGCAGTGATGCAACAGAATCCACCCTAAATCATCAGCAGTTACAGAGTGATCCAAAAGCCCAGCAAGGCCAACGGCAAGTCTTCCACTGACTTCCATGGGCTTTGGATTTGGTCACTGGTGCCACAGTGGTAGAAGCGACGTGATAAAAAGTGTGACAGGTCTTTCAAAGGAGTTTGAAAAGGGGGTGGTTAGATGACTCCAGAGCCTAGCTGCTTTGTACAACACACGAGTAGCAGAAGGAAGACAAGGGTTGGTAGTGAGGCCAGAGGGAAATCATATTTTGTGTCATATGACTGAGAAGGGGAGATGTCTCTTTCAGGAATATCCATCTGTCAGTGTTTGGGGAGACAGAAGTCATATCTGTAGGCCCGTAGCCAATCCTTAATCTAGCTCCAAAGTGAATGACAATAGCAGAATGTTTAAAAGTTTGCTTCACAAACCATCTCCACCAGTGCTCATTTGATGAGCTTATTAAAAGTATGGATTCAGCTCCTCAGTGAATGTTAATCAGCACAGCACAATTGACTTCCAGGGTACTATGGCAATTTACATCGGCCAAAGGTGTGGCTTTATGGCTGCTGTATCTCACAGTAAAAAATTAAGGATATTAGAAAATGCTTCCAGAAATATACATGGATTCTCCCCCCACCTCAAACACACACATTCATATTTTCTCTCTCTCTCTCTCTCTCTTTCCCCCCCCCCCCCCCCCCCCCCCCCCCCCCCACCACAGATTCTCTTCCATGCTTTGTCCTGCACCTATAAACAAGAAAAAAAGGTACCTCTGTCGCCAGCACTGGTATAAATTAAACAGATAACTTACCTCATTCCTTCTGTCGACCTGTTCTGGTAGTTACGGTAAAGCTGTGGTACGCCTAACATGGCCTCAGTGAACACAGCAAGGAAGCCCAGTGTTTCCACAAAGAGAAATGAGTCAAGAGAGAGGTAAGTAATGTATCCTGTCACCCCCGTGAAAGTCAGAACACACTGCACGTAGTCTGTAAACTTGCTCCAGTGCCAAAAATAGTTCAAGTCAAAATCTGAAATAGAATTAAAAAAAAAATTAGAATTTTCCCATCTCGCCTCACTAATCTCTCTCAGTCTCTTTAACAGGTGGAACTAACAACTGGAAAGCATGTCATTATCATTCCCCCATGTGAGGGACTAAACAAAGATAGCAGGAAGGAAAAGGAGGGAAAAAATCCAACATCTAATGTTAAAAATGGAAAATACGATCAGGGCACTTTGTGAGTGTGGCTGCACAGGAAACAAAGAGGCGGCATAAATTTCCCACTGCTCGACATGCTTCCAAAATGGCTTTTACAGAAGTCCTTGGGAGTAAACAAGAATTGCAAAGAACCCCTCTGGCGATTACTCGCTATACAGCATTAATATAGATTTATACAATGACACACAATACACAAGCTCTGCCCCAAAGCACTTATAATCTAAGAACTATCCAATTCAAGGTCACAGTCTTTAACTCCAAGGCATTCAATATCCTCAGATCTGGGACACTAAAAGTTGTCTGAAGCTCTGGGACAAAGATTGTGTTGATTACTCAGCTCCTTGGACACAACAGAACTATCTACACAATAAAAGTAAAGGTCATCAGTGCAGGAGACAGCTTGGGGGACAAGGGCTGCTCCAGTCTACAAAATAAACTTGCAAGGAACTGCTATAAGCCTCACTAACTCACCACCTTAATCACTATATATTAGAGTCAACAGCAAAACAAACATTGCATTACTAATTACTAGGGATGTAACATTTTGATTATTTGGCTAATTGAATAGTCGATGCAATTTGCATCGACTATTCGATTAGTTGACAAGGGCACGTCCACCTCCGAAGTGCAGCAACTGCCCAAGGCCGTTGCTACACTTCAAAGGCAAAAGTACTGCGCGGAGAACGGTGCCAGCGGGGGACTTAAGCAGTCCCCCGTTGGTCCCATGCTCCCTGCAGCGTTTCAAAGTAGCAGCACCACATGGAGATGGGGGACTCTCCTTCCCCAACTGACCCTGGGCTCCATGCGGCACTGCCACTTTGAAACGCCGCAGGGAGCCTGCAACGCGTTTATTATGAGCCAAAAGCTACACCACAGCTTACTCCATGCATCTGTAGGAGAGTGCAGTCTTGCCTACAAATACTACAATGGGGCAGAGATTTCATACACAGCTTCACAAAAAACCCACAAGAGCAGCTGGGATATGCAACAATGTAATAAT